ACTAGCAAAACGATCCTTAAAGCAGAAATGAAATATGTTTTACTTATAATACAATAAAAAGCATAATCATAATAATTTGATCTGCACAATCCTTCAGCTGAAAAATTTCGTCACCACTGTGACATTCGGTCTAAATATTTCCCTGCTATCAGAGATAGCAGCGAAGACCATTAGCGAAGATCTCACCAAGGAAGAGCTTATTTGCAATGGCGCTGTCCGTCCAACGGTAGTTTCATTTCGCTTGAGCGAGTAGAATAATTGGATTCGAGAAAGCGAGGAAAGAAAAGAGAGCAACGTGAAACGTCTCCAAGTCGAAGACAACAACGATTCGGATGAACGAAAGAACGTGTACGCGTTCTAATTGTCGGTTCTAATCGAAGAACAAACAGGGAGCAACCGTATCGCGAACTACCGACCCCCCTGAGTATCCGTGAGAAAACGAGCAGAGGAAATAATTAACTCGATCCTTAGTTTGCTTACTAGTTTATGCGTAACAGGGAATTATATTAAGTTGTTGCATATCAAATAGCTGATTTTGAAACGTAGAAAATTTAACACTAGTTAATTTACTTAAACCTCCTTTAAACAAAACATTAAAAATTAAAGCTGACGTCTCAACGTCGCGAAAACTTTATGACTTTAGGAATTTTCTTAGCCCCAACTTACTGAAGATTCGTTTACCAAGTTTTCCAATAATTATTTCACAAATGGATTACCGTTCGAAGAAGAAAGTTCTAAAATACTTTAATTATTTGGAACTTTACGTAGGTTTTTTTTCACGTGGGATTCACAAAATGAGCCATTTCCTACTACGGTCCTTTATTTTTCCAAGCAAACGGACCGACTTAAATTACTTGTTCGGATTAGAAAATTGCATCCTCTCTCGTTGTTCAGAGGAAATTTCATCCATTTAGATTCTTATCTAAAGTACAATCAACTGGCAGAAGAAGGAAATGGACCTTATTATTGGGTACATCGGTTTCTTTCATCCATTCCATCCCTCCTGGGGTCTCTGACAACACCTTCGCGAGGGCTCTTAATCCCTTATTCACCACAGACTGCTTTTCAAGGATCTCCGGTGGTTTCTACAACGACTACGCTAAACCCTTCAACCACTACATCTTCTTTGAGTTGCTATCAACGTTCGTTTCTTCGCTGATTCAACAAACCAACCCTTTGCCCACGGTTGGAAAAAAAAATACCTTTAACTACAGACTAGAAATGTATATAAAAGAGTCAAAGTGAATTAGCACACCCTGTGTGTGGGATGACGTTATGAAATCGCAAGTCAACGTTGAAAACTCACTCGAGACCTCATTCTCGTCACTAGTTCTCGTCGTTATCGGCGCATATTCGAATCTCGTTAAGCAACTCCTGTGTTGAACATCGTTACAACAACGCACCTGACCTAAACTTCTCCTCAGGAACACTGCTTTTCCGCTCTACGAGAGCTAATTCGAGGACAATTTCTGCACTCGAGTTTTCATTACTTGATTCTGACAAGGATTATTAGAAAATATATGTAATATATGTGCAAAAAGGAAATTGCGAATTTACCATTTTCTTTCGCGTGCACAGAAATTGTATTATTATACCCTAGGTAAAGGCGAAGCTGAGAAAACTGATGAATGGGATGCTTCTATTTGACTAATTAAAGAGAACATAATGGATGGTGAATTATTAGTATCCCAGGCTGAGGATAAATTTGCCTTTCGGAATGACTAGAGTTTCCTCTGTAATTAAAGAAAGCAAACGAACGAAATTGTTCCAGTAATATAAAATGATAAATGACTGTTCAGACTGTTATACTCGAAGATTTACCAGCAATATTAAATAATTACCGTATCCACAGAGTAGTCGAAGGGAGAATAATTAAATGAAGCGAAGCATTTTAGTCGTAGCGTGTTAGATCCGATGGAAAATCTCGCCCGACAATGGGTAGCCTACTTCCGTCCCGGTGGCAAAGTAACAAAGTACCCGGCTACTTTACGCCATTTATGGTCTATAGGTATATGCTTGCACAAGGTAAGATCATTAATCTAACGCGAGTGACATAATGTTAGGACGACGTAGACGTTCTCGTTCGCAAAGGATATGGCTCGTGTGATGCGCGAGAAAGGTCTTCGTTAAAGGGCATTAAACCAAGCCGATGTCAAACGATTTATTTAATTGCGGTATTCCGATTTCTTTGATCGATCAATGTGGGATTTTTCCATGGATTTCAACGACTTACGAGTGTGTTCTTCTAAAGGGAGATTCAGCAAAATGTCGTTAGACATTCGTCGCTTCTTTTCCCTCTATTCCACCGGTCTCTCATGAAACGCAAGCCTCGACAAAGTTTATCCTCTCGTACAACTTCGCAATTATCCTCGACTGGGGAAACGACGTTTCTTCCGGTGAGTATAATTTGGTTCCTTGCCAAGAAGTTCGAGGAAAGACCGCGGGAATAGCAGAGGAACGGCAGGACGGAGGGAATTTTTGGTCGGGACGAAACGAAAGCAGGCGTTAACCAACGACATGCAAACTCGATCCTCTATTCCTGTTCCTTCCATTCTTTTCGTCCTTTTCGTAGAGATATCGCGAGTGACTAATTTTGAGGGTTACAGAAACCCATAGACTCGGTTTTGAAGGAGCGTGTTGTTGATTCCCAGTGGAGCGAACCTGCACACCTTTGAGCATCCTCAAACAACCTCGTCTACAATCTTCCACAGCCGTATGCACCTTCTGATTCGATGCAATTCGAACAACGTCAGACAGTAGCCTTGTCTCGTTGTCGTTATTCGCACATAGTTAATGAAGTTAACGAAGTAACTTCGTTACGCGCCGTTACATTCGCGAAAGGAAAGCGGAGGATGCAAGGAAACGACGGGAGCAGCCGGTGTGCTGGTTTGGTTCTGTTCGGTTCGCCTAACGGGCATGAATTAATCATTAGGACGTTGTAAACAGAGCAGTCGGTTCAAACGTAGCTAGTTAGCGATGTGTTTACGCTGTTCGAACATCTATGCCTCTTCGTCTGGGAGTTACCATCCATTAAGAAAATCCTGCTTCACGCGTACTAATGGACCGTCAATAATTTGTAAACTTCCGGTCTTTTGTTAACTTCGCGAGACTGGGTTGGCGAGCTTTCGTATTTGGAGATCACGAAAGAAGAAAATCTTTCCGAGTAAACTTCGTATGATTTTTTTTTTAATTGGAAAAGTTGAACACGTGTTATGTAATTAGGAGAAAATAGTTTTAAACGACAGTGTAGGTGGAAGCAGTTTTTCAGAGCGATGAAACTTGCTAGGTCGATCTAATTCGATCGATACTTAATCCTTCGAACTGGGAACCCACGTTTCCGGAAGTCTGTTCACGGATGAAAACGCACGTCCAAGTTCGCTTACGTTAATTATGATTGAACCTGCATTCAGCGTCGAACTAACTGAAAACTGGACTGCCCTAAATAACGATCGACGCTTTTTTTATCTGACTAATGAAAGCGACTGGCGATGATATTATTCGATGCGAGCCGATTCACTGTACGTTTCGACAAATTGCTATTTGTACTTAACAATTTTTATCCTGACACTTCTTTAATTCTCGAACGGCAGTAGTTAGGACAATTATAAGGCAGATGTACGAGATGATGTCTCTTATAAAATAAACATTGAAAAGGTAGAATTTCCGGGCGTAAAACCTCGAGCATGTCCAGTAGAAATTTAAATGTATTCGGAATTAAAATAACGTGTTCTCGGTACACCAGGTAGAGGAAATTTTTCATAGAGGAAATAAAACTCGTTTCTGACTTTGATCACGATTCCAATTTCGCGGTGTATGTTTCGGAACACACGAGTGCTTTTTTACAAAGCGTCCCAATTAGCGTAATAATCCAAGTTACGTAATTATACAAGACGAAATCAACGCGAAACAATATATTATCCCAGTTTCGCGGAAAAGACTTTGCTCCAATTTTTCGCACCGTTGCTTATTCATTTTGCTTCTCATTTTCACCGTTTCTTTCGCGATATTTTTCTGACTAATTTTCCACCCTCGCACCTAAAGAACTATCGTTCAAAGCGTAAAAACGGTAAGAGGAAAGATCAACCTGTTTAAATACGTGTTTTTTTAATTTAATTTAAAATTATAATTTAAAAAATATTTTATACCAAACGTAATAATCCAAATTTGCATAATCATTAAATTGTTAAAAATACAAGGGAGCTCGGTGTTACGCGATAGAATGAATTCTTCATTAAATACCAACGCGGAATTTTATAAATGATAAATGACGTTCGAATTTCTTTCATAACAGAGCGATTGAATTAACTGGGTGGAGGAGAATATCGATATACCTAACGGTGCGTTTACGTGATAAATGATAACGTTCTTTAGATCGCCGGTGCCCTGGTCTGGCTAGACGTTTGCCCGTGATTTTACGAGGATCACCAATAACGTGTCCCCGGGTGTAATATCGTTTCTTATGAGCCGTATTTTATCGGGAAACAATGGCAAGCACGTAGGTAAGTCGATGTACTTAATGTCGATGTTCGAACCCCTTCGAAAGCTCGATTGTTACGAAGATTTAACGTTTCCAACATTTACTTTGGAGAATCTCTTTCAAACTTACCCCAAGACAACCTTCCCATCCCCTTTTCTTATTTCATACTGCAGTTCGAAGTTTTATTATTCGTGATTACTTAATAAAAGATTGATAAATTCAGTTATTAAAAACAACGATTTCCATGCGACAGAATTCCAACCAGGAAAGCAGCCCTTTTACTGAAAGAGACATCGTTATCCCTCTTTTTATTCTTTCTCAAAAAATTATGTCTCAAAAGGGATAAAGAGGATCAGCAATGCAGGGAGAAGACGAGAGAATAAGACCCAGCAGATCGCAGATCACCCGAAAAGCACCCACCACCCTATTCACCCATTTCCGTTCGTTCCCTTATCACAGCCCGTTATTTTCACAGGATCCTTTCTCGCTTACATGGGAGGTACAACTTTTCGAATGTACTTACAGGTACGAGCGTTCCTGATCCCAAGAAACTATCTCCGTTACGACCAAGTGGCCGGAAGTTAGAGATTCGGTCTTCGGCTTGCCGGAAGACACGTTCGAGACCGCGACCACGTGCCTCCAGTGGCTGCTGTCATTTTGTCGTTGCGGCAAAATCGTCAGAAACGAGTCCCCGTCGTCGGTGAACAATGGCGGTTCGAATTGCTCGACCCAACCGTGTTTCTCCGAGTAAGACAGCGCCTGCAACGATGAATATTTCATTCGCATTATCCACCCCTTCGTTGAGAGGGGTGGGAAGACATAATCCGTTCGCGGTAAAAAATTGCACGAACCGTGCAGAGTTTAGGAATCGTTCTTTCGATGAGTTATATCTGCGAGAAAGTTTTCGCCTCTATTTTCTTAGCTAATTTGCATTTTATTTGTTTCGAAGGTAAAAGTAATTGATCATCGAAAAGGGTCACGTTAAAATGAAATTCATTCGACCTTTCGGTAAAAGGTTTTTCGTTCGCGCTTCCATCATCGTTACAGTGAATCCTCCATTTTTGGAAGGTCTCGTGAAAAGTTAGGGTTGAAGAAAAGGGGGTTGTAAAAGGTTCCCATTTCACTCTTTCAGTAGAAATTGAAGTAAGAATGGATTCTCTATCTTGTTGCTGACTTTCGGTCGCAAAAGATTAAGGCTAGACTATCTTTCCTCGTTCATTCAATCTCAGATTGAAATTGGATCAGACTTTAGGAGTTGTTTTAAAAGTTCAATTTAACGCCGGATGTTGAATTGAAAATTAAAAATAAGAAATCTGAAATCCGTCACTTCTAAATTTTATATTCTAAAAAGTAGCAATCAATCACGAGCACCGAAACAAAGTACAATAGAAAACAGGAGGAACTTAAAAATAGCATGACGAACTTCTACTTTGTTTCACTGGAATCGCTTCGAACCACGCTAAACACTGGAAACAAAAAAATTCTTAACGACTCGGACTCTAATTAAAGACGAGATCTTCGTCTTTTACGGGCGATAAAATAGGGGTGCTTAAATTTTAATGAGAACCACGCGATTCTCCCTGAACCCCTGTGCAAGAAAGCGAGTACAAAAAAGCGAGTACTGCAAAGCTGGCAGGACTTATCGGGTTTAGTTTTGGTCAAAGCTAGAAATTAGTTCAGGGGTTGAAGAAATGATTTAATACTTACGTTGGTGCAATTAGGTTGGGCATCGTGGACGTAACAATAGCGGAAGTACGCTCTGTTCTGCACCCTGTTCATCCAGGTCGCGTACACGAGATTGTCCGTAGGAAAAGCGACGGCAGATAAAATCCGTTCTGTGGAGGATAACTCGGGTGGATGTTCGATTTCAGTTAAGCTCACGTTACCCTGAACCACCTTCTCCAAGTCGACGTAAAACAACTTCACCGTGGGATTGGTCGTACCGCTCTGAAACAGGAAATGGTAACAGTGAAACCCTTTATATCCGGTTCGACCAGTTCCATCGATTCCACTTACTCTAGATTAATAACAAGAAACTGATACCATATATCTTTCTATGTGTTTTATTTTATCTCTATCCTCGATAAAAAAATAAAATTCAATGGATTTTTCAATTGTTAATAGAGAAAAGAGGCAAAACAGTAAAAAAAATACATTCCATCAGGACAATATTAAAGAACGACGGGCGTAAAGCTTTCATTCCGATATTCTTCTCTACCTAGCATACGCGGACGGGAATTTAATCAGAACGTCATATCAAAATTTAATTATTCCTTCCGTAATTAGTTTTGCTCCCGTTCGTATTGCCATCTGCAATTCGACTTCGAACAGAGGATCATAACGGTCCATGGAGAAACTCTTTCTTCTTTTTGTCGATGACAATTTATTATATCCAGATTCCCTGGCAAATGAATAATTATTTTCAGGATAGATTCCGTTGGAAAATCTTTCAGTGAATATATCGAAGAAAATTCAATTGTAATATTAAACACGACCGATCCTTTCGAATCAAGAGCTGAATCAGTGGCTAACTAGCAGTTGCCTCGAATTTAATTGAAACTTAACCTAACGCAATCTAACTGTAATTCAATTCCAACTCTAACTTATTTTACGTTTAATCAAGCTCCTATTTGACACTGGTATAATCTGTTCTGTTTATAGCGTTTCTTTGTGTGAATGGGGTGATCAGCTGTTTAATTTCTCATCATCCTTGGACGGGGGGTGCAGGGTCATCCGAGATTTAGCGAAAGGAGAATAATTCCTTCCTTCGAATTACAATTTTAGTGATGAAAAATCGTGGAAAATTTCTGCAGATATTTCGTAAATTTCCCATAATAAATTCCGACCGCATCGGTCGTTCCGTTTCGAACCCTCTACAAGGTTCGATTTTTTGCACGGCTCCCATTCTTGCCGCGTTTCACCCTCTTTTCTCTTTGTCCATTCGTTCACTTTTTCTTTTCTTTCTTTCTTCTACCGCGTTCGATGTAAAGTATCCTCTTTTTGTGTGTGCGTTTTTTTGTTTTTTATTTTTATTTTTTTTTCCACTAGATCATTTTTCTTCCGGCTTTTATTTCGCCGTCGTTTCCCCTTCTGTATACATTTTTCAACTCTCCGCTGCAACGATCCTGTTGATTTGCGGGGAACCACAATATGCTCCTGTTCGACGGGAAATAACCGCTCGCTTAAAGCTCAATAAAACAAATTCATTCTAACCGTTTGCGCCATTAAATGCTGCATTCGAATCGTGATAACTTTGAACGATAAAAATACTCCCGGGCCATATGATACCTCCGTTCCAATTTTTGTTCTCTCGTCATCCAACGACATACGTATTTCACGGTTGAAATAAAAAAGAAAGGTGAATCAGTCGCGAACAATGGAACGATGCGATGGTAGGATTTAGAACGCACCGAGTGTTTGTATAATCCTCGAACAATAACCATAATAGCTGTGTAAGTACATAATTCTGTACTCGAGGCATTTTCATAGTCATCGAAGTCACCGTGAAACGATGAAAACCGTCGAGGCAAGTTTTCAACTTTTCAAGTGTTCGTTGAATATTCCTCTGAATATTCGAATCGCTTCTCTGTAACCTCATTTTTATCTCTTAAAGCGTCCCTAGAAGACCAGTCGTCTTACTCCTCCGTTAAATTCACCTCTTAACACCCTTCAGACACCCTTATCGTCTTTCACAATCACCCGAAGGAACACGAACTCACGGATCTACCACGTTCAGTTGCTTTTTTGTAAACGAACGATCTATCGAGTGGCGACAAGATTTGCAAGTTCACCCCTCGCGAATACCGAAGTGAGTACCTAAACCCTTTCTTCTTTTAAAGGGGAACTAAAGCTGTTATTCATCGCTGGGTCAACTTTCGTCGAGGCTGCTTTTACGACAACTAATGTTTGCTTCTGTCCAGCGGCGTCAATCGAGCCACGTGAAAGCACATTAAAAAATGCACAGGTGCCGCAGCTTACAGCTTGCACACCCTCTTACGACCCCTGTCACAGATTCACAGCCAGAGGGCTGTTTTTCATCTTTTCAACGTACCTCCTAAGACCAAGGTTCCTTTACGTGGATTTTGGAGGAAATTCGTTTCTCAAAATTTATCATTCTACTTTAAAATTGTTTCATTTAAAACGAGATATCATACGCTAACGTTATTAAGATAACGCGTTGATGAGACTGATAAAATTAGTGGAAAATCTGCAGAGAATGGACAGTAATGTGGTTAAATGTGTTACGTCTAACGAAGTTACGCGGGTTAACGACTTTTAACGACGATACGAACAGGTAGCGAGTCATCGTCACACACGGCGGGACAATCGTGTAAGTTAAATTGTGTAAGTTCAACCGGCTACGTAGGAGAATAGTTGAAGTTGTAATGAAAAGTCCTTTGGGATGGGAAACGGAGATTAAATAACCAGCACGTAATTTTCGTTCGACCTCGAGAAACGCAGAGGACCGTGTTTGAAGAAGGTTTGCGGGAAGTTTGTTGCGAAAAAAACTCACAATGCTAGCGAAATGGACTTTCGAACCGACTCGTTACGCGAAACTGGAAATAGGACAGGGTGATATTAATTTTTCTCTCTCTATTGTTCTCGGTAATGGAAACCAGGTTATAGCACGCTTGTTCCGGATAAATTAGACTGGCAGGAAACATCACGTCAGATTAAATTTAATTATTATAAGGAAAGTTTTTTTAGAGATAAAAGGAAGAATGTAGATAGGGTTGTTCATGGTTGCTTACCTTTGGGTAGTGTATCGAGATCGCGGATGTATACTGGAACGTCAAACTTCCTGGATACCCGTAGAATGGTATCGTTATGATGGGCGTGTGAGAGTCGTCGAAGTAACCGAAGGCCAGTTTACTGCCACTCGGTGAGAACCATAAAGCCTTGTTCGAGCCGAACACCTCCTCTGAAATGAAACGAACAACCGTTAACCAGACTTCACGATCCACCTTACGATACCTTATCGTAAATGTACTTCGGAAACAAAACGAATATAAATTTTTCTTGCGATAAATTCTCCTCGCTAAATTTTCCTTTGAATATATCGAGATTAAAAGTTACATTTTTGAAAACGGTACACCATTTCGGAGATACGCTTCTCAGGAGAACGTATCAATTTAAGAACATGCTCAGAGGAAAATATTTCCTTTGCAAGGACATTTTTGTCAAGGAAACGTTTCTCCTATGGACGTGGCTCGTGAAATAATTATTTTCTTTAAGCGAGACGAAACTGGAAGAAAAAAATAGGGAGGTAAGAATAATAGAAACAGGAAGACCTGGAGAAAGAGCATTCAAGATGTGCTCGCAAAAAAAAGTTACATTCTTACGAAAGTATCTCGTCCCTTTTCAAAGATGCCCACTAAAGACGACCCTTTTTCAACGTATCTATATAAATTTCACTCCGCTTAACTTGAAAAGCATTTTGTTTGCTTCTTCCTTTTCTTTTCCCTTCCCCGTTTTCTCGGGTCAGAAAGAAGTCTACTTCCATGGTGCTCGAACACGACAACCGTGATCCTAGAAGTCGCAATAGAAAAATCCATGCAATTTCCGCTTGCACGCAACACCGTGTCTCGGACGATTTCACCAACAACCGCGAGAGTAGAAAGGCGGAAAATGTTGCTCTCCGTGAGATACAAACTTTAACCCTTGCTAATAAACGTTACGTTTCGTTGCAGCGAACAACACCTTGATTAAATAAAAGTTTTTCTGTTATTTCGATAAGGATTCAAATCGCCGTAATACAAAGAAACATCGTATTATCGCGATGTCGTTAATACAGTAGTTTAAAAAAAGTAATCATAATTCATCCGAGGTGAGTTTTTCGAAAAAAAAAAAAAAAGTAGAGGAGAAATATTCGTTCCGTGCGTTCCCACAGCAATTTCGCGTATTTTTCGGAATATGAATTATCGTTTCATGGAAACTGCCCTCCAGAGGATCCAATAAATCTGGGCAGTTTACACGAACTTAACTAGCCACCTATTTATTCGACCGATTGATAAGCTAGATCGTGATGATCGAAATAAGTCTACAGTAACAAACGAGTGTCGTCATATAATGTAGAAACGTGGAAAATTAAAATAAAAGCATCGTCGTCGATTTTAATTTCATTTCTCATTTGTACTCGACGTTCGGTACATTATTTGCGAATGTTATTTTCTGAAATTGAAAGCAAATATTGTTTTTTATTAAGAGGAATAATTTGCCCGACATGTTTTATTTACCCTCGATTGCTACTGAAAGCGTAGTTTTCCAAAAGTGCACTTAAATGATTGAACAAATATTGTACAGAGTGTATACACGTTTAAAGACACTCAGAGAACGTAATTGCGAGTGAAAACTGTTCGATAAATGTATACAAGTTTGCCAATGATACCTTGCAGAGTTATTAAATTAATAACTTCGTAATTTCAGCGTAAAAATAATTTTGAATGGAAAACATTCGACCTTAAACACTCGAGATTCGTTAAAATAGAAGATAAATGGTATTCAGAGGCAACTTTCCTCTCGAATAAGAAAAGATAAAAGCTTCGGTAATTAAAGGATTTTAATGTTGGTTAATTAAGTCGTTTCCCGAGGGTGTAGAGTAATTAATGTATTTGTGGTGAAATTATTATTAGAGTAAAGCGCGAACCCTCGGTTCGAGAGCTAATTTTCGGCTAAGTGGTCCGCGCGTTGAACTTTAAACGCTCTTGCTATTTACAGCGACGAAAGTGTCTCTCGTTTAGTTTTCAAGGCTTTTTTCAAAGTAAACAGAGAGCTTTTCCGAGCAATGCCACGACAACCAACTGGAATAATGTTCCTGGTCGGGAACGAACGAGAGATCACAGGGATAATCAATGAAAATTTCGATAATACTTAATTACCGTGTCCAATTGCAGCTCGTTTTCGAAGGTAATTGACTGAGAAAGAGTTGCAAGAAACCCGATTTTCGTGGTAAATTATCGTGTTGAAAAAAGGATAATTATTGGAAAGTAATTTGCTCCCATTTTTTTCTTTCTAATGGGTTTAATCATCGTTAAAAGAAAATTTAAATTAGAATGTGATTAGAAATAAAATCGAGACAAAAGGTTGAAGGATTACAACTCTGTCATAAAAATTTCGTAAAACCATATTCTCAAAGCACACAGATCCCTGAGTGGATTTACGAAAGAAACAAACTTGCAACGATAAATTAATGTAAGCACATGAAATGGAATGGTATAAAAAGTACACCTGTACGTCTGCAAGTTAAATGGGAAAAAGAAAAATAGCAGCGAGTTTTTTATTAGTTTGTTGCATCGAAACGTTGCATGGTTTATCCTTCGTTTCCATTTAAGTTACGAGAAGCAAAATTCGTAGCACGAAAACGTTTTCCACCACTGCAAAATTTTCCTTGAAACTCATTCATTTCCTTGTTTGTTCTACGACTTCTTGCTTACGTTTCCTGTTCACTTACTTTGTCAACATATTACCTATTCACTTATTTCTTATTTATCTTCCTCTGTTGCCATTTCCTTGTCGTTGAAATATTCAACAATCTCCACGGTTCTCTTTTCAAGGCAACGAAACAACAGAAATATCAAGCATTCATGAACATTCACGGGTTTTGTGTTAAAACAACCTCTAAAAAGTAATTTCCTCCATGATGTTTGCTCAAAATTATCGCGGTGCTTGTTGAAAATTTATTATTCATCCGCTATGTTAGTTAATAATTTATAACTATGAGAATACAGCAGTTCTTTCGTTTAGCTTCCTTTCGACTGACAAGTTTTGTAATAAGAATTCAAAACAAGACTGTATCGTTTATACTTTGAAAAGGTTGTTGAAGAATAATCTTGATCGCAAATAATGGGTTTCTTCTTTCTTTTCTTCCTTTTTTTACCGACAAAGGAACATGCTCGTTATCGAAGCTGTTGACGCAATGAGCCACCCCTTCGCGACGGGGGGTAGGAGATGAAAATTGGGGGTAATAATGACCGTTCGATACTTTGCGCCACGAGTTTTCCAACGATTCATTGATAACAATACCTCGATCGTGCTTCGAATATTGTTCGTAGTTGAAAACTTCTCGGACAAAGAGTTGCGATGGGGTTGAAAATTCTTGACCAGTTTAGCTCGGCCATGTTGGAAACTTCGAACGCTTTAGGGGATTTTACGGATCAGTCCTGATACATTAAATGAGATTTTTCAATGTCCAAGACGTTCTATTCTTCTTTATGGTATACGAAATAAAAATCCTCACCGATTAACCCTGCATTCGTTACTTTCAACCCCTACGCACCATTTCGAATAATTTTCTCTCGAGAAAGGGCAAACGAACAAGAGAACGAGCTACCTGTTCCTTGTTCTTGTTGGAAAGGGAATATCCCAGGGCTGTGTGTAAATACCAAGGGCTCGAGAAGAGTACCATTGAAAAGGGTAGTGAGGGGGTGTCTAAGAAAAAAAGGGGGTGGTTGTAAGCCATATTTCGCGAAACAGTAAGACCGTAGGCGAACAAGCTAGGAAAAGGTAAATTTTCCTTCGACCCCAGGAAGAGAACCGGAGAAGGAAAAGTCAGTGTGGACAGCCAAGGGGTTGGAGAGGAGAGGATATACAGGATGAGAACGAGTAGTAGCAGGTCTGCAAATACAAAAGAAAAGGTACGAAAAAAACAGACAAAAAGAAGAAGAAGAGAGAGAGAGAGGGTGAAAGAGGAGGGGATGAAGAAAAGTACAAAGACACGACATTGCGTTGCGCAGCTCGCTGGACGTGACGAGGAAGAGAAATATCCCGAGGGTAAAATTCACGGTGGGACAGGTACTAGGGGTTGAGAGGACGAAGATGAGCTGACTGAAAGAAACGAGTAGGAAGAAAATCTCAGGGACTATGAATTCCCTTTACGTTTCTCTAATTATTTATCCGAGGGATCGTCGAATATCTATGAGATTATTTAAACCGGAAATCGAGAGGTTGTGAACCGCAATGAAATTGATCGATTTTTTTTTTTTTTTTTTTAAATTTTCAAACCTACCTATAAAGACGTTTTAACTGCATCCTTCTACCCTTTCAATCCTAAAGATCAGTCCCCTTTCGAGGGCCAAATGTAATATTCGTGGGCTCGATCGTATCCGTACTTGAATTCCCTGATGTACTATTCGATTTCCCTGGGATAATTGTAAATCTGTTTCGCAGAATTTCAACCACCAGCGTTGCCGCCATCGCCGCACGGAAATTATTCCCCGTTTCAAATCGTTAGCCCGGAGAAATCGTATAATAATTCGCGGCGCGAACCGGCGCGGCGTTCCCGCCGGAACCACGGTTCCGGGGCTGCCGTATTTCCGGCCCACGGTTCCGGGACCAGAAGCACCGTCGATCGTCGGCCAAAAGTAAATGCACGCCCGACGACTCGTAAGTTTCGGTCACGCTCGTTAATGAGAATGAAATTCGGAAGTTTCAAAGTGTCGAGCAAAGATGTTTGTCTTCAGGATGGAACATGATCGTTTTTTATAACATACAGTGGCTTTCAAAAGCATTCCACCAACGATTCGATCTTTTTTATTTTTCTTTTTCGAGAAAATCAAAGTGATCCGCCTTGCCGGCTCGCGGTACTCTCGTGTAAAGGGTTTTGAAAAAAGAAAGGTAGAAATCAAAGTCGTTTGAAGCGTAGCACTCTTCGAAAAATCTTTGCTAAACGTGTCAGGAACAGACGGTGGAACGTCGAAGATTGCTTGGTCGTATCAAAAAGGTGTCTTTGAGATTCGCCAGAGGTATCCCGCCAGAAGTTCGAACGTGTCCCGGTAACTGCAAGTATCGAGGAAGCTTCTGTGAGCCGTGTTTCAAAGGGTGAAAACGTGTCCCCGCAACTAAAGCGTTCTAAAGATACCTCGATACTTCGATTTACGCTTAAAATATATGTATCTATAAAATTGTTTGAATTATGGTTCGAAC